ATTTATCAGCATCAGCATCATCATCATCATCATCATCATCATCATCATCATCATTATCATCAGCAAGCATCAACAGCGACCGGCGTACCTTACAGCAGGAACAGGATAGAATAGAAGCATAGATCTGGCGTTCAGAGTTTCGTTATTTTCGACATTCGCATTCTCGACATTTTCGGCGTCCGTTTCCGCTCAATCCACAATCCATCCTCTCTCGTTTCTGATTGATTTTTATGCTGGCGTCGGCGTCGGCGGTATTATTTCGGATTTCTTTTCTTTTGTGTTGAGGCGTGCGCACGGGGTTTTGGGGGGGGGGGGGGGGTGGGAGGGTTGGAGGAGTGGAGGAAATAAAAGTGGGAATAGGAGTGGGGGAAATTTTTTGATTTTTGGGGTTTTTTTTGGGAGGGGGGGTTGAAAAGAAATATGATGTTAGTGATGGTTTGCTTTTAGAATAGTGGGTGTGAAATGGACGGATGAACAGATAGAGAGAGAGAGATTTGTAGTAAGAGTGAGAGTGAGAGTGATAGTTTTAGGAATATAGAAGCCCGCTGGGTTGAAGGGGAGGGAAGGGAAGGGATGAGAAGGGAATTGGATTGGATTGCATACGTGGATATGGATGTGGAAGAAGAAGGAGAAGGAAGAAGGGTCGGTGGGCTGGGAAGGGAGGGCAAAAAAGAGGGAAAGGGGGAAAAGTCTCTGGGATACTGGGGCGGTGGTGGATTTTTGGAGTTTTTGGGTTCGGTTTCTCTAGTTGGTTGGGTGGAGTTTGGGGATTAGGCGTGAGGACTAGAAATAGAAATAGAAAATCACTAATATATAAATTACGATAACAATGAAGTTTTTTAGTGTTTTTTTATGTTTCGGATTTCAGCTAGATGTGATAATGTAGATTTGCTGTGGTTTATGCTTTCTCTTTCGTAAATGAGGGAGATGAGAGGGACAAGGGGGTTTCATTTATTTTCATTTGATTGTACGCAAAGAAATCGTGGAGCTTGATACCTAATATTAGTCGATGATTTGCTATGTTATAAGAATATATTGATGCCGTACTGTGACCTTTTTGCAATTTAGCGTCGGGATTGATTACTAATACAAGAGCGCTTGATAGATGGAAGCCGAAAGATGTGATGAGAATTATTGAAAATATAATTGTTATTCGTTACGTACTTATATGATCGGAATATACATGTATATTGAAAGAAAGGGCATTCTGAATGGGGGGGGGGGGGGGGGGGGGTGAAGAGGGTTCTTTTCTTTATCTTCAAAATGAAAATGAGGGAAGGCGGTATTAGGCTGAGACGGAGAAGTAGGAGTGTTAGTAAGTATTGTTTATTGCTCGGTCTTCGTGCACTATAGAAAAGAAAGAGAGACTTTTCGTATTTGGCAAATCAAGCTCTAAACAATGCTCTCAAACAGCTAGCTTATGAAGCTAGAGCTGAATGAGGACCTTGCGTGAAAAGACGAGGTTTTGAGACCTGATTGGGACGTTATAAGGTCGATAGAAGCCGAGGATTTCTGAAGAGGGGAAGAGGCTTTCTAAGGACTTTTAAGCGCCTTCTTTAGCGCCAAGGCGGTAGTCTTGCAGTGACTCCTCCACGCTATAAACACCAACATTTTTGATGTCTATTACGTATCTTTACAGAGTTTAACATACGACCAGCTCCCGAGGGGTATGATGACGTGCTACAAATACCTAGCTAAAATAGGCGGAGAAAAGAAAACAGAAAGAGCGGGAAAAAGGATTAGAGCTAAAAAAAGAAGGCTTAGGATAGGAGATGGTTAATGGTGCATTTCAAGATATAGCACTCCTAACATGCTTGCCTTGCAGCATCGCACTATTGGATATTTTTATTTGTTGTACTTACCTTTATTCGGTTAGCGAAGCTGAGCTCCGCAGTTACGCTAAGGAGACGAAGAGAGACGGAGAGAGACGGTTTGCTGCTATGGAAGTTAGTTAATCTACTTTCGTGTAACCAGTATTCTGAATTCAATTTTTTCCTTTCTTTTCCCACCTTATAAAGCTTCATCCTGGGAACACTGAGTTCCGAACACAGCGATCCCAGAACTCCAAACACAGCGACCCTAGCACTTCAAACAAACATGGATACCAGGCATAAACATACCGAGCGCTCTCTATCACGGACAGCAGCCATTCTGGAAGACATTCTGACCGATCCAGGACACCAGATCTCCACCCAGGACCTCCAAGGAACCTCGTCCGATCTCGAGCACACCCTCCCCGACGCAGACCGCCGCCTCTTCCCTCAGGAGGTCATTCTGCGCTTCCACGCCTTCTCCCGGCTGCCAACGGAGCTCCGCCTCATCATCTGGAAGATGTGCATGCCGGTCCGGGGCCGGAAAATCCGGATCGGCAGCCCCGCGCGCGCGGGTGCGGTGGAGGTGGCCTCGCCCGTCACGCTCTGGGTCAACCGGGAGAGCCGCGCCGAGACGCAGCGCGACTACCGCCTCCTGTGGGACGGCACCTTGGGCGCCGCGTACTGGAACCCCGGCCGCGACGTCGTCTGCTTCCCCCGCGTCAGCCTCTCGACCAGCGACCGGCTGTTCAGGGCCGGCTACTGCTGCGACAAGGCCATGCGGGCGACGATGCAGCAGATCCAGATGCTCGAGCTGACGTACGTCCCGGCCGCGTGGGCGCTGTTCTGGGTCACTGAGAAGGTTGCGAGTGTGAGCGGTTTGGGCCCCTCGGCGCTCGATGGGCGGCGGGGCGGGAAATTTTGGGATTGGCTTCCAATATCGCCTCATCATTTTCCGAGTTTGAGGGTCTTGACTCTGGTTCCGTGGGTTGCTCGTCGCAGGGGAACGGACAATGATGAAAAGGTGATCCGGACTCGGTTCAAGGCGCTGCGTGCAGCCATGAGTGAATATTGGACGGCCAAGGACGAGGATGGCAAGGTCAGGAACTTTGAGTTGCGAATCGTGGACAAAGTGAAGAATTGCCGGCCTAGGATAGTTTGATGGGCAAGCAAATATGTAATTAGTGTTTCTAAAAGGCTTGGATTTCTGATTGAAGCCCACTTGTGACTGTAATGGTAATGCTTTTTTTGATATTAAGTAATACATTTTTGATACCAAGATCCGCTATCGCTTTTTGATTTTAAAAACAACATATTGACTGGCCATATGCCACGTGCGGAGCAAAGAAGGGTTCTCACAATCTGCATCTTCTGGCAGCTACATCACCGATACCAGAAATAACCGATAATTAACTGTAGTTTCGCATAGTGCCGATTTATCAAAGTCCAATAGCTAAGCAACGACTTGCTATAACCAAGTAGATTGCCAAGCTTCGTACATATTTGAGAGACTTGCCTCGATCTCACGATCAGACTTTATTACATTATATCAGTCTGGACCTAAGTAACCCAGTCTTGAAGGAATTGAGTCTAGCGCAATAAGCTTGTTTGTCAGTTGGGCGGGCGCAAGGGCAAAGCGATGGGATAGATGGATGCGAACGAGTCGGATAGGGTGCAAGCGAGACTCGAAGACGAGACGATTCAGCCAAAAAGACGCTATTACATCGCTCTTAAGTTCAATGAAAAGAAACTGGTAGAGGAATTTATCTCAAGCCGTACTTTCTTGAGATAATTCTTTCTTGCGGCCACGAAATAAAATGACAACAGTGAGCTGATATCACACGGCATGATATCTCGAACTGCAAGTGACAAAGTGGGATCTTGGTGACCGTTTCATCATACGCTATATCACGGTCAATCTGCTTACTGTCGGAGTCTCGCCTCAATAATGCCGCTATTAGCACTCTCCGATCCATAGAATCCCATGATTTCATAGCCCGCTTCACCGAGCAGCTTGTTCCACTGCGACTTGCTTCTCTCCTTCCCAGCGATGACCAGCATGTTAATGTCACGTAGGACCTGACTGGCGCTTGGATTGCGGTCTGGCAGGACAAGCTCGCATATGAGGAGCCGCGATGTGGGGGAGCCTCGCATCGCCGTTTTGAGATTGGCCAGGATCTGAAGACAGGAGGAGTCGGGCCAGTCGTGGAGGATGCTCTTCAAGAAATAATTGGAGCCTGATTAACGTCACTTAGGCTATGATCGGGAAAACGGGGGGAAATAACGGAGGAGTTTGGGGAAAATCTTGCCTTGGATTGGTTGGGCCTCCTTGAAAATATCGTGTGGCTGCAAGACCACGTCTGCGGGAACCACGGTACCTCCGTCGAGAACGACTTGCATGTCTTCCAATGCGAACTTTCCTTGTAGGTTGGGGAACGCTGACCGGATCTGATTGATAACGTGCCCCTTGCCACCTCCAACATCCACGAGCACTACTCCCTCTTTATTCGGACTCAATCGGTCGAAAGGATATGCTTGAAATTTTTCGCTCGTCTCAATTATAGATACTATAGTCATGGCGCTGTTGAACACTCTCATCTTCTCAGGATGCTCCTCCAGGATATCAAAGACACCCTTGTCCGTCTCCCCATGCGCAAAGGAGAACGGACTGTTCTTCGCATCGGTAGGATTTCTAAAGCCGTTCTTGAGATAGTAATCGACCGCCGAATTCGTTTGAGCATGAAGCATCTCATCGAAGAGGTGGCGGGTGGATGCTTCAGCGGGAGGAGAGGTGAGAAAGCGCGAGTAAGGAGTGTGGCTGTAGGATGGCAGAGAGTCTTTTGAAGAGTCGTTTTCGTGGATAATATTGAATGCAGCTACAGTGCGTGCTATGCGTAAGAGGAACTCTTCCTCGGAGTTGGTCTTTTGGGCGAGGTCTGCGATTGTAGAGGGCTCGCCGGAAGTTGGTAAAGCTTTCTGGGAAAGTCAGAATTTTAGGCACTCGCTGGAATATTGCTTATTTTACGAAAAGACCCATCTCAACGCCGATTCGTATAGCAACGTTAAGATTGGGACGGAAATTGATCTCCGCGAACAGTTGCTGATAGGGCGTTGTTGCTTGGCAAAGTTTTGAGGAGCTTAATTGAATTTCCTGTAGAGCTACTGCTCTCTCGTGAAGGGTCTTTGCTTTATCATATCTTGCAATTGAAGCTTGAATCGTTCCAGAGAGTGCGTCCAAGGTTGAAACGGAGGGCGCGATAATTGGCGGAGCTGGTGGACTACCTCCTGCTGTGTTAGACATGATGGTAAGACCGGATGAGTTGATTGAGTATATGAATGATTGAAGAGAGATAGCTTAGAATCGAAACGATAGATACGGTAGGTGCGAGATGCTTATATGCAAGTGGGTGGAGCAGCTGATTATGACATGATCATAGGTCTAATGGCTCGTTGGGAGTCGAGACCAGAGACCATATGGGTATTGGTAAACGGAGTTCCACAGTGGAAACCCCCACACTGTATGCGGATAGGTGCCTACGTATAGGCAAGCTTTGTACGAGTGTCTTTGAAGTTCGGTACCGAGATATTGAGAAGTGAGGTTGAAGCCCCTGATAGAGAATGTAAATAGCCGAGGAAGCCAAACACATAAATACCTGATCTAGCTTACTTCGAGCTTTGGACGGCATCTGAATACCGACATTCAAATTAGAGTTAATCCTAACCTCAGAAATCGAAAATTAGAATGAATTAGATACCATTGAGATCACCAATCCACTTAATGCTCAGTGCATATGAGGTTGCACAAGTGTGGAACTGTTTGTTACCTGAATGAGGGGTATTCGGAAGTCCGGTCTCCAGCATCTGCATCGATATCTCCTTGTACAACGCATTCTCAGTCCATAGTCCATGGTCCATCAACATCGACATGCCACTGTTGCGATTTCAGAATTGGTGGTGCCATGCTTTGCTGTTTGAATCTCCGTGACGGGCAGCGGCGGCTGAACTTGGAAGTGTCCTTGTCCTTTTTCTCGTTCTCGTCCTCTCATGACCACGATGTTTACTTATATCAACACCCGCATCGGTGGCACTTGCCTGCACAAGGTGAACGTAGCCTCGTACCTTTTTATATACTTATGCAATCATATCCTTATATAATTACTTTTATTCCTGTAACTCTCTGGTTGAGTTCTACCAAAACCTAATACAACCCGAATCTTTCTCCTACCTGGTCCTCTTCCCCTGAAATCCTTAGCTTATAGTTGCTATCTCTATTGGAGGACTGCATTGGCACTACACTTACGCTCCCCCATCCCCAAGACCAGAATGTCCTACGACCTACTCGAACGACGCAGGTCGAGATTCGTCCTCTGGATCCCCGGACAGCCACCTGTACCGAGACCTCCTCAGCTTATCATCGGAACTATAACCTCCACCTTTCCTCCGACTATACCGCCGGCCTTCGTTCAAGTCTTCCGCGGTCCACTCGCGAGCACACTTACAGACCTCTGGGAGCTCGACCCAAATGAGATCAAACCTACGTTAAGCAATGGCGTGTACCATTACTGGTTCGAGGTCCGGGATACATCTCCAGAGAACCTGGGGATTGTACAAGTGACAGACCCGATCGCGTACGATGTTGACTATAGGGTCACGCAACCCACTGGAGACAAGGCCCAACCAGCTTCGGTGGTCATGTTCAGGGATGGGAAACTATGGCCTTGCGACAGATATGGCACCGAGCCAGGTCAGGTGGCTGGTAAGATTTCTTGAGTTCCTTCCCTCATTATAGACACTTGTGGCATATTCTGATCTTGTTTATCAGTACCTCCGCCAGAAAATGTCCCGGACAACAACCATTTAGTGATCTATGAATTGCCAACTTCGTGGGCGAGGTACTCAACAATTGGCAATGTCGAAGTGGACAAAGGAACCTTTCTGGACGTCCTTGCACTATTTGTCCCGGTCACCCCCGGCGAGCATTTCAGGGGCGTCTCCGCGGTTGCCAACGGAGCCATTCTCTCTGACCTGGGTATAAATGCCCTTGAGCTACTGCCGGCTGCAGACGCAAGTCCAACAGGGCAATGGGGCTACGCAACCGCGAACTATTTTGCTACGGACTTTGACCTTGGAACCTCAAGCATGCTGGTATCATTGGTGGAAGAAATTCATTCTCAGAAGATCCGGCTTTTCACCGATGTGGTCATGGCATTTGGGCACGATCCATATATCTACATCGCCTTCGACCAATTTCATATTGACCCAAGATCAACAGCCGAATCCAGTAACCCGGAACGCTGGCAATCGCACACCCCTCATGCCAGCGATGGCCAGCTCCGAGACGGCTATGGTGGCAGGAACTGGCGCTACCTTCAGAACACGAGTAATACATATGATCCAGAGTCAGGTAGGAAGACCCTGTGAACGCCTTTGACGCTTGGCATGATTCTAATTCGGGTCAGGCAATGTTGACGACGTCTATCCCTCTTGGGCATTTCACAAAGCTCATGTCCAGCGATGGATATCAGACTTTGGTGTTGGTGGACTGAGGCTCGACAGTGTCAACAACATTGCCAACTACGACTTTGTGAGATCCTATAAACAGCACGCCATGGCTGTGTATCAAGCAACGCACGGAAGGTCACCCAGCTCCAAGTTCCTTGTCGTCGGCGAAGAACTCAGCTGTCCACTCGACCTCATTCAAACAGGGTGCCTTCAGGCATTATGGAACGAGCCCTTCCAAGCCCGTATCAGAGCTGTCATCATGGGCAGGTATCTGGACTATGATTTTGAGTCAACGGTCCGCAGGATGGTTGACTGCAGACGAGATCCCGAACACCCATTTTGGGACGGAGCCCAAGCAGTTAATTATATCACCTCGCACGACACCGAAGGCTACGGAACCCAGAAAGAGCGACTCTTCAACTTTCTTTCTGACAATCAAGTTTCCGACATGGAACGGCGTGCCAAGTTTGCCTTCGCGCTCCTTTTAACGGCGGTCGGGATCCCGATGATTTTCGCAGGCGAGGAATTCCTCGATCAGATGGACCGTGACATCGCACACAAGCAAGACGACCCCGTCAACTACGAGCGCAAATCCGAGGGTTGGCGTTCACGTATTTTTGACTACGTCTCCACTCTCGTCAAGCTGAGGACGACTTGCCCTGCGCTTGGAGACAACGATACTGATTTCTTTCATGTGGATTCCAGCCGCGGCGGTAGGATCATGGCGTGGAAATGGCGTGGAAGCGCGGCGCACCCGGACATGAACCCGTCGTTGTTGTGGCCAGTTTTACGGACGAAGATACCCCTGGTGCCGAGTATTTTATTCCGAATTGGCCAGAGAGGGGGAGGGGCGATTGGAGAGAGGTTACGCAGGGGAGAGAAGTGCCTGTTGAGTGGGTGGGCCGGGAGCCGTTGATGCATTGGGAGGTTAAGGTATATACCTACTGGCAAGAAGTTTGAGTGAGTATGCTTTACTGCATCAGTGAGTGTTAATTCTCGAGTTCCACTGAAGGCATTGATACATCGTAATATGGGGAGTATTAGGGTTCTGCTTATCTTCGCCTCGGATCTGATAGAAGCTGGCTTTAACTTTCTTCCACTTGCTTTTTCGGAAGCAATCACGATTCAGAAGCAATCACGATTCAGCAGCAACGCACGTCTCTGTAGCCAACTTCATCCCCCATAGATCAAAACATTGACCTAACTAACTGAGAACAGCATATCTGGAAGCCGATGTTTTCGACTGTCTCGCTAACTTGTGGCTCGCATCCTAGTTTAGTCGAGGACGTCATGATCTCAATGTCTGGCATCACAGTATCAGCAAAATGATAGATATATACCGGATCATCGTCCCCGGACATCCCTTGCTTGTGTATCATGCTAGCATTGTTCCCCGGACGACTGGTGGGGACAGTTCCACAAGGAATGGAAGAGGCAAGATAAGGTGTTCCTCGATCGATGTGGTGTTGACGCAGTACACCCGCCTCGCTTAATAGCAGGTGATTCATTCATTCGTTCTAACAACACTGCTCAGCGAGAGCTGGAAAGGTCAATAGGGTTTGGAGATTTACGTTCGCTATCTAGATTGCTTTTTTGCATTGTGTTGCATCTGTATTGCATTTTTTGGTATATTGGTGCGGGAGAGCTGCGCAGGCCAGGCCAGGGCTCCAACGAGCGAACGAACGAACGCTCTTTCCTTCTTTCTCAGGTCCAGGTCCGCATCCTTTGCGAATTCTACGTCTCGGGTACAAACAGATACACTACCTTAGTCTTTCCGTTCGTTGCTCCCACAGTCCAACAGACAAGACAGGAATCTCGACATCCCTATAGCCAAACCCATCTACCACCAGGCCACCACCACCACCAACCATGGCTGTCGCCACAGCTCGACCCATCGGGCTCCGCTGGCGATCCAATACGCCGTTCATCATATCCACCATCGCCATCGGCCTCTTCACTGACCTCTTCCTCTACGGCCTCGTCGTTCCTATCCTTCCCTTCCTCCTGCAGAGCCGCCTAGGGATCCCGCACTCGGATGTTCAGAAGTACAGCTCCCTCCTCCTTGCATGTCATGCGGGTGCTTCAGTTCTCTGGTCCATTCCGGCGGGGATCATTGTCGATAGGATTGGTGAGAGGAGAGGGCCGTTCCTGGTGGGCTTAGCTGCCTTGTGGGCGAGTACGGTGATGTTGTATGTCGGACGCAGCATTGGGTGGTTGGTGGCGGCGAGGGTCTTGCAAGGGATTAGTGGTGCTACTGTTTGGTTTGTCTCTCCCTGGGGGTCGAAATGGTGTTTGATGTCTGCCCGTCAATGGGCATCCTGCAGATTTGTGTGCATGGCTGACTCGGATATCCAGGATCGTCGGCCTAGCAATGATCCTCGATACTGTTGGAAGTGCTAAGCTGGGACTCACCCTGGGGAGTATACTAGGCATCAATGGGCTCGGCAACATCGCGTCCCCCGTGTTGGGCGGGTGGGCATACAAGATGTATGGTGATAACGGCGTGTTTGCTATTGGCTTTGGACTCCTGGCTATCGACTTTCTCATGCGGCTACTAGTTGTCGACAAGAAAGCCGCCAGCAAGTACGGATCACGTCCTCGGTTTGCGGATGATATCCACAAAATTGACGGCGCGGGAGACTCGAGCTTCGTGGACGATGGCGCTGCAGAAGTTGGAGAAACTGCCTCCCTCATCTCACAAAACGCTCTGGAAGAGTACAGAATTCCCGAGGATTTGCCAGCAATCGTTCTCAAATTTCCCATGATCTACTGCATGTCCAATCCGCGGCTCCTGATGTCCCAAGGCGCAGCATTCATGCAAGCGGTCGTCCTCACAATTTTTGACGCCACGATTCCGCCACAAGCTCAGGGTCTCTTTGGCTTCGACTCCTTCCAGATCGGCTCACTGTTCTTATCTCTCGCTCTGCCGTATCTGTTCCTCGCCCCGGCAGGAGCAAAAGCAGTCGACAAGTACGGCGCCAAATTCCCAGCTACCGCCAGCTTCGCATTTCTTGCCTTCCCTCTGGCCCTATTCCGACCACAGCCAGGAAGCGCCCTCGAAATTGTGCGGTTCTGCGTCTGCGTCGCATCGTCCGGAGCTGGACTGGGACTTATCTCTGCTCCGAGCTTTGTGGAAGCGAGCGTCGTGACTGAGCTGTACCACATGCATAATCCAGGGAGGTTTGGTGAGAATGGACCGTACGCTCAGCTGTATGCGATCAACAGCATCTTCCTGAGTCTGAGTCGTGCTCTCGGGCCCTTGATGGCTGGGTACTTGAGCGTCACGCTTGGCTATGGGAATATGAACGCTGTGCTGGCGGGATTGTGTCTGTTGACTAGTGGGCTGTGCTTCTGCTTCCTTGGAGAGAGAAGGGGCAATGCGAAGGGAGCCGTGAAGGAAGATGGAGGAAACTGACGAGACGGCATCAGGCACTTGTATACGACGAGCCAGGGTTTGAGCCTTCAGATTGTATATTTTTTTCTTACCGTGTTCTAGATTTTGAAGTTGGAAGTGGTAGCCGAGATGTGGACATTTATATATATATGTAACCAGCTAACTAAATCGCAGTAGATTTGCGACGTAATAAGGTTTTTTAGGTCTTACTATCATATGTAACTATTATTATTTTATTAATTATATTTTTACTGCTAGTCAGAGTCGAGGTAGTCAGTATTATATTCCTATCGATTTGAGTTATTTGATTCGTGAGGTAGCTAGGTAGCTTCGCTGTTGGGTGGTGGGTATAGCAATATATATATTGGTTCGGTTTTGTTTTGTTTTGTCTACCTTCGCTTAAGGGCGTCTGAGAACGGAGAACGGGGAAGATGTGGTGTTGTGTGTCGTCGCCTGCTCCTTTTTCTTAGCGAGCTAGGAGAGGAGGGAGAGAGGAAGGAGAGAAGGGAAGCAGAGGAGGGAAGGAAGGCGGGGAGAGAAGAAGGAACCAATTAAGCGTATCCTGCAATATCGCTGCTGCCGAGAGGGATTTTAGATGTCTTCTTTTTGATGAAAATTGTTTTTTTTTCTTTGACAGTTACTAGGTAGTTGATTGATTGCTATTCCAGACCGGGCTACACTAGATGAGTAGAGTGGAGTGGAGTAGAGTAGAGTAGAGTAGAGTAGAGTAGAGTAGAGTAGAGTAGAGTAGAGTAGAGTAGAGTAGAGTAGATTAGAGTAGATTAGAGTGGATCAGATCAGCGTCTATCCTGATTTAGGTAGGAGATAGATAGATATATCTATAAATATATATCATTTTGCTTCATTGATTCGATAGGAGGGGGCGACGAAGAGGGCTGGTTGGTCAGTGGGAGTGCCGGTGCTTATGCTTATGGTATCCGGATATGATATGAGTTGAGGGAGATTGAAAAGGACTGTGAAAGAGAAGAAGAAAGGTGGAAAAGAGAAAAGTGCAGTGGTGATGTTGTAAAGCAGAGGGCATGAGGAAAATATTTTCAGGTTCGCGATCCAGGATATATTCGAAGAGAGGAGAGGGGAGAAAGGAAAGGAACAAGAGTTGGCCTTGCGGTATAGCATGATCAGGGGTTTTTAAGGCTGCATTTTTATACAGTTATATTAATGCTAGGACGCGATCTATAGGATATGATCAAAAGCGGAATATTAAATAACATAGAGTAGGACCGACCTGCTTTGAGGAAAGCTATACGACGCGCAGAACGGATGCTAGAACGAGATCTGAAAATTGAAACAGCTTACCTTACTTATGACGAGTCGGAATTCAAAAGTCAACAATGGCAAGATTCCGAGGTGACGAGGTGACGAGGTGAATATCCTACACGATTTAGAACACAATAATGGCATTTTTGCGTGATGCAATAAGCCTTCCCACAACGACACTTTCTAATGACCTTCCGCCGGAATTCTTTCGAGCTCCCAAAAATCCGCGGCAACCAATGTGCTTTTGATCTAGGACTTCCAGCCACATACAAAAAACAAGGGTATATCCTGCCCACACCTAAACGCCCATAAGTTCAAAGAATCTTAGCGCCGGATTGTTCATGCCTTCGGACTCGCAGCTGGCGTAGCTCCCACGGCTTTGCTCTTTCTTCTCTTTGGCTTCGCCATCCCAGGTGTCTTTGGACTCTTCTCTGCCTTGCTACCCTTTCTCTCTGCGGGAATGTTCGTCTTCAAAGGCGACGGGGCAGGTACAGGTTTAGCAGTCTTGCTTGGTACATGCAATGGTCCTTTGACAGGTCCTGGCACCATGAGCTTGTCTTTAGCCTCTCTTCCAGTTGACGAGAAGTGGAAGTCCCCAGGCTGTCCGGTAACGGGAATAGCGTCCATGTAGTCATCTCCATACGTCATAGAGGCATTGATTGCTTCTTCGAGGACTCGGTTATCGAGATAATTACTACCTATTGTAGCAGCGGCGGGGGGTGGCTTTTGGGAAGCCTGTAGAGGTTCGGGAAGGGGTGTGTTCTCTTTACTGGCTCGGCTCAGCTGTGGCTCAACGTTCTTTCCGCGCTTACTTGTTGGTGGTGGAATGTAGACATGGCCAAGTGCTGGACTGAAGTCGGGGAGAGTTGTCATGGAAGTGGCGACTTTGTTCAGAGAAGATATGATCGCCATCTATTTACCATTAGCAAGAACTTTATAACTGAGACTACTTAGGCGTACGGTTCTGTTGCATAGGATATCTGCCACCGTCGATGCCATGTAGATATTGTCGCCGACAACGAAATAATTCGAGTGTATTGTGATCTCGTCTTCTTCGGAAGGTACTTTTCTCCGGGTTTGCTTCCTAATGACCCAAATTCCGGTTCCAGTCCCGGGTGCCATTTCTTCTGGCTGCTCTGCGATAACAAACTCCAATCCCGACATCGTCTTGAGTCGGCCCTCGAAGGCAGCTCGCGTTTGTAGAACTTCAAACAGGTTTGGATTGAACGTGGCTTGCGACGCCAAGATGGCATTGTTCGAGGTTTGGTCAAAGAATGGCGAGTGAGAGAAGTAGTGGAGGACCGAGTTTTCGTGCACGCCTTGCATCTGCTGTGCAAGGACCGTTGACTTCCATTGGATTTCGTCCAAGGGGAGGTCTTGGGATGCCATTGTGAGTGAGCGCAAGATCAGGCAGATCAAGCAAAACCCAGGTCGAAATCGACACCGACAGAATTGTCGGGTTGACGAAACTCTTTGGTACCGGGGCTTGTAGTCGGAGTGGACGAGGTTCTCGTCAGCGTCAACAAGGCTGTGAACTAAGTCACCCTAAAATCGGGTAGACCCCTGCTAGTCCTTACACGTGACCATAGAGACGTACAGGCCAAAGCTGTCGGGCTTCACATCTCTACAACTGCATCCCTCGCAGACAGGATTCCCAAGAACCCAAGTGCGGTGTAACCAGCCCTTGTGCAAACCAACAATTCAGCAAGAATCTGTTTGCGAATCCACCATACTCCCCCGCTATGGATCTCCTCTCCTCAATCCGCAAGGAGGGATCGCGGGGTGGAGTCAACTTTTCCTGGGACGATGTGCAGACCTCACAGCACCGCGAGAACTACCTTGGTCACTCTATCATGGCACCCGTCGGACGATGGCAAAAGGGCAAAGATCTAAGCTGGTATGCCAAAGGCGACGACAAGAAGGGCGAGAACGGAGAGACGGCGGAGGAGAGGAAAACGAGGGAGAGGAAGGAAGAGATCAAGCGGATCAAGGAGGCCGAGGAAGACGCTCTCGCCAGGGCTCTGGGCCTACCCGTTGCAGATAGAAATGTTACGGGGAGCAATGCGATTAGTGTTGGGGAGGTCAACCGAGCTGTGAAGGAGGCAGGCGTAGGAGAGGAAGGCGACACGGAGGGGAAAGGGGCTGGATTTGGTGGATTTGTTGGAATGGCAGATGGGGGGGACCGAATGGAAGGCGACTTCAGGGGCCCGAACGACGGAGGGCTGACCAGGAAGGACGCAGAGAAGGAACGCAGAGGGGACGATGGTAGAAGAAGGGAGGGGAGGAGTCGCAGTCGGGAGAGAGGACATAGACATCGAAACCGATCTCGAGATGGCGAGAGAAGGAGACATCGATCAAGGAGCGGCGACAGGCACAGAAAGCGTCGGCATAATGGGGAGCGAGAGGAAAGGAGACCTAGAAGTCGCAGCTTTGATAGGAAAGAGCGAAGACATCGAGACAGAAGCCCGGAAAGAGGGCGGCCAAGGCCTGAACGAGGAGAACGAAGTGGTCGGGAAAGGCCCAGAAGAAGCCGGTCACCAGAACGACGCAGAAGCCGATCACCGCGGAGGGAGTACAGAGGGAGAAGGGGAGAGTGATGTGGCTGCGCTGATTCGAAAGCTCTAGAACTTAGCGATGGCGTCTGGCGTTAAAGAAGAAAACAGTTTGCCATTCAAAAAGAGGATATTTTCGACGCTGAAATGATGACATATCTATTGTAATCGTCACCTTCTGTCTGTTTACTTCTGTCTGATCTCCAAGATAATTCCTTTCATGCCGAGGGCTGACTATGGGAATGTAAGACGAAGTCATGATCCGAAATGAGCCACTCTGCTGGAGGCCACCCGCGGCAAACGAATAGCGGAGAGGAGTCTCATGCGCCGCTTAAAAAGATGTGAGCCGGGCAATCGTCAGAGTGCTCGACATTGAGATGCTAAGCAGTAGCTTCCGTAGTGGCGGTTGCATTAAAGTTAAGGGTTGTAACCGTGTGGCGCACTAGTGGTGCTAGTCGTTGGCCACGTGAGTGGTAGCCTTTCCTTAGCTCAGCCTTGCGAGCATTCGAAACTCGATACATGGTCTCACGTCTCCCTTTAATCCCTCCTATTAAGTCGAATTTTTTTTTTTTGCTCATCATATCATACGGACGATCAATGACAAAGAAATAATTAGGCTCATTTTGAATAGCCTCAGTCAGGTTCATAAAGCAGAAAAGCTAGGACTTCTCCTACTACCAAGATGGACTTCACCAAGCTCAGAGCAACGGCTCTGAAGGACGGTGATGACGAGGAGGCCGTTACAGTCAATACTCGAGCCCTTATTGACAAAGTTCTTGCACGCTACTCCGGAGAATGGACTACGCTGCGGGAACTCATCCAGAACGCCGCCGATGCCCAAGCTACCACCGTTACCATCAAATTCGAGACACTCCCATCCGCCTCCGTCCCGACCTCAAATACCACAAACCAGTCAGAGATACTGAAACATGTGCTCCTACATCACACCCTACGGCGGCTACTGGTCACCAACAATGGGCAGGCGTTTGGAGTCAACGACTGGTCGAGGCTGAAGAGGATAGCAGAAGGAAACCCGGACGAGACAAAGATTGGGGCTTTCGGAGTAGGGTTCTACAGTGTATTTGCGGACTGTGAGGAGCCATTTGTCAGCTCGGGGAACGAAGCTATGGCTTTCTACTGGAAGGCCAATTCATTGTTTACCAAGAGGCTGCAGTTGCCACCCGAACAGAGCAACCCAAATACAAGTTTCGTGCTGGATTACCGGAATACTACTACGCCAATGCCGAATCTTCTGTCTATTTGTCAGTTTCTCGCCACAAGTTTGACATTTGTTGCATTGCAGAAACTGGAGCTACAGGTGGATGATTGGACGATCATTAGGCTGGAGAAGAAGGCGGCTCCGAGTCTCGAGGTACCTATTGCTAGGGATGTAGAGACCAGGACGAAGGAAGGTCTTATGAAAGTACAAAGTATGGATCGGGAGAGTGTGCAGATGGATGCCACATTCATGAACGTTGTTGGTTGGAAACCAGCTATGTCCACAACTATGTCAAGACCAGGCTTTGAGAGCTCATATGGCACTAGCTCTTCAGATGTGCCATCCTTGAGATCGTTCTTCTCGAGGCTAACAGCAAGCACAAGTCATGCACAGCTCAAGACTAAGGCTATGAAGGAGGAGAAGGCACTCCAAGAGGTTGTACTTGAAGATCTCACTGCGATGACTACTGCGAATGTATTTCTGAGAGTCACCACTGCTGTTGTCAAGACTTCGGTCCATGAGAAATTTGCTGTGGAGCTCGAGCGCGCCACCAAGAAGCCGCCTCCGAAGATCACGAAGCTCGCGATTCTCACATCTTCATATGACGAAACGGCAGCATCTTCTAAAGACAACTTGGTGGCGAAGAGCGTGGATGTATTCTCCTCCGTCCTCCCGGGAAAGAAACCCGGTGGCCGTATATTTATTGGGTTTCCTACTCATCAAACTACCGGAGCGGGCATGCATTTGTCTGCACCGTCAGTCATTCCGACTGTCGAGCGGGAATCTATAGATCTCAATGCGAGATGGGTCAGAACATGGAACCAAGAAATGCTTCGAGTTGCGGGTATCATGGCCAGAATAGCTTTCGCCAACGAAATGGCCGATCTCTCCACCAAGATCAGCCGTGCTGTGAAGCTTGCTGGTCACGGCACGAAGGTTACAAAGGATGAAATTGCACAGTTTATGCCTGAGGCTCTCCATACCTTGAAGAGCTTTACCTTTGGAGAATCAACGCCAAGCTCTCAAGTATCGCAGCTCATTGAAGAAGCCTTTTGGACTGCCTACAAGAAGCCGTCCATTGAGATCTACAGTTCGCGAGGTGTGTTGCCAACTACGAAAGTTAGACTGGCTACGGAAGATCTCAGTGGCTTTGTCGATGGTATTCCAGTCGTCCCAGAGGCGGTAGCTGAAGGACCGTTTGTCAACAAGCTCAAGGATTTCGGACTCATTACTGAGATCACGTTCAACGACGTCAGGCAGGAATTAGAAGCCAAAGCGTTGACCAAAGGGCAACTGGTACAGTTTATCGGCTGGGCTGGAAAGAAGGCCATCACCGGAGATATGGATAGATCAACGGTTCATATTTTGATGGGCGTCGCTGTTGCGATGACTGGAGATGCTGATGGCGCAGGCGATGTTATCGCTTTGGGGACCATTACCAATTATCTGAGCGTGAGCAAGATCCCGGCCGAGCTTCCTCTACCACCATCCACGATGCCGTTCCAATTCACTCGGACGTCATCTGTGAATGAACTTCAAGCTCTGGGCTGGGAGCCGCTAGAGATTGTTCCTTGGCTGCGATTCCTCATTGAAACCAATTCCCACAGACCGAAAGAGCAAAGTCTGACGAATTCTCCGCAATTTTCAGCCAGTGTTCTCCAAGTGCTATCAAAGGCGTGGGATGGCCTGAGTCCAGGTTCCAAGACGACCGTTGTTGCACTTCTTCAGCCTCTTGCAGTGATCCCGACGAAGGCTGGTATGAAGAGACCTGGGGAATCTTTCTTCGCAAGCGTTAAGCTCTTCGAAGATCTACCCACGGTCACTTCGTGTCCGGGCGTCAAGGAAAAGTTCTTCGCAGCAATTGGTGTTCGGAAGACTGTTGATCTAGAGACAATCTTTGCTCGTTTACTTGCGCCCAGTTCCGCATCAAGGCCTGGAGAGAGGGCGGTCAATTATAGGCACATGGAAGTCATCAAATATTTGGCCTCTGTCCAAGAGGATATTCCAAGGGAAGATATTCAGAGACTGAAAAATTCACAAATCTGCCCTGCTGAAGCAGGACCAAAAGGCCTGGAGCCTACAGTAGGCAGTGCAAGATTGTACCGCGTATCTGAGCTTTTTGAGCCGAACGATGACCTGCGAGGGCTCAGGCTGCCTATCATTCAATGGCCTGGCCCACCCGGTAGCTACCGAGCAAACAGCGTTGAGGGTAGATTTCTAACTCATCTTGGCCTGAGATCGTACCCAGCTGTCCCTGAACTCATTGATCTGATGGCATCCGAAGAACCCGAAATGCGGTCCAAGTCCATGACTTACTTTGTATCTAATCATCACCTGAAGGGGTATGGGGCTTTCGACCTTCACCAGTCGAACAAGAAATTCTTGCCTCTTTACGGAGAGAGAGATCGCCTGGTATCTCCTTCCGAATGTTTTACAAATGAGCGATGCAAAGTCCTCGGCTTCAGTATCTTGTCCAGAGGTCTGGTTCCGCATGCTAATGTGAGTCACTTACTGATCACTCGAGTTGAAAACTGACTCAAGGTTACAGAAATTTGGAGTGGCCATGGATCCTCCGATCTCGCATTGTATAACCAGACTCACCAGCAACCCACCAAAAACTCAGAGCGAAGCATCAGCACTGTTTGGATATTTCACAAGTCGTCTTGGCGAGATATCTTCGCAAGGTGTTACCTTGCTTGCTGATTCTCGCATTGTTCCTGTCGTGGCTCAGAATGAGTCAAGCGGGTCATTGAATGAGAAAGCTGATGTTACCCATTTTGTACTGAAGACACCTCGGCAATGCTACCTGGGGAGCTCATCCGCCTACGGCGAAGTGTTCGACTTTGTAGATTTTGGGAGCGAGGCGAACGCATTTTTACTAAAATGCGGGTCCAAACCCGAACCTACTATTGTAGAGCTGGCGCAGTTTGCGTGCAGAGAACCGGCGCGCCTTCTTGGTCTTCTGCAAGGTCCCGAAAAGTATCTCGGTCTGCTGAGAAGTTTTGCGGACGAGCTTCCCCAGCTGAAGAAAAATAAAACTTTATTCGGTCAGATGAAGACCGCCAAATTTCTCATTGGATGGGTTGAGATTTCGGCAAGCAAGGACAAAGAGAAATCGAAGAAGCCACAGAATCTCATGGATGACGACTTAGACGTTGAGGACATGGAAGATGCACCTATCAAGCATCAAAGAATGGAGTCGGCTAGCAGAATCATCATTGTAAGTGCCAGTATCGACTATAAGATCACTACTAACAACGCACAGAACGATGACTACGCTGGTTATCGCCTATTCAGAAGTTCTCTTGTCTGCGCCCCTGAAGAAGAGAAATTAGAGGATTTCTACCTTGCTCTGGGTGCCCAGACACTTCGCAGTCTTATCCAGGAAGACCTCCGACTGGGCGAGCCAACTCAAGATACCGGTACCAAGCTCCGCACTCATGTCTTGGAGAGAGCAAAGCTTTTTCTGCACGAGACCCCCCGCGAAAACATCAAGCACGATGGTCGTTGGCTGGAGAAAAATCTCTGGGTTCAGATTGTATCGTCAATTAACCTCCGACGATCTCTCCGGGGTCATAGCCTTTCTCATAACGAGAAACGCTCCGCAGCTGTGCAACACGAGAAGAGAACAGGCTGGACATTGTTCGTCACTGCTGGCAACTACGACACCTATCAAATTAGCCAAGCTGTTTGCAAGTTACTGTTGGACAGACCCAATCAAAGCACTTATCTGACCTTCGAGCAATTCCTCAACCTGAGTTTGCATCAGCTCCGAGCCCGTGGCTACAATGTAGAACGTATCCTACGAGCCAAAGCCGCTGAGCAAAGAATGGCCGAAGAGGACCGTAAGAAACAGATGGCAATCGAACAGCAACAAATCAAAGAGCAAGAGGCGCTGTGGCAAAAACAGAATCAAAGTCAGATGATAGCCGCGGCAGCTGGTCGCGAAGAAAATGTGCCCAACATGCCAGGCGCCTTCGGCTCAGACTCCCCGGACAACAGTCCCATTCGTCAAGCCGACCAGAAAAGCCGTGGTGGCGGCAGTAGTATCTTCTCAGCTTTCACCAAGAAGCTAGGTCTCGACTCACGCAACAGTACCAGTAGTAGTGGTGGCAGCGAAGTGCAAGAACAATTGCAAAGCTTTCTCGGAGGTGGTACTGGTAACGATGGCTCGTCTAGTCAACCACCTCCGCCTCCCTATGATGGGACAGGAGCCACGGAAAAAGTCTCCAATCCCGCCGAGATCCAGCAGAATCTGCATAATGCTATTCAATCCTCCCGCCCCTATAACTCATCCACCCTGTTTTCGCCCCCAGAGACGCAGGCTATCAAAGAGCAAGCTACCTACTGCGACTCCACACCCGCTCAAAATATCATTTTCCTAGCCGACGCTTCGAACGGCATGCGCATCTTCGTGTCCAAAACCATGTCCGCAGACCCGGGCACCTTCCTTGCAGCCAACGTCTCGGCCCTCAACACATTCTCCCTCATTCTACAGGATGTGTGCGACGTGTATGCGCTGCCGCGGAAAGCGATGCACATCTTCCACGATGAGAGCGGCGGCACTATCGCATTCAATTCCGGCGGCGCGATTTTCTGCAACTTCAGGTTCTTCAGTCAGTTGCATGAGAAGAAGATACAAGAGGGTAGTGGCGGTGAGAATGGAGAAGCGAAAGGGGAGGCGGGCGTTTATTGGTGGGTTGTGATCGCGCATGAGCTGGCGCATAACATCGTGAAAGAGCATGATGCTCGGCATAGTTTTTACACGTATGTCATTCCCCTTCGCTAATCGCATACCCTTAAACTGCTTATACCGTGGTATGTTTGATCGGAAATGGAGCAAGGCTAATTTGAGAATAGGGAGATGTTGGTCGCGAATAACTTCTCGAAGATGATGGCTATGGCGGCGAAGTACTCGCGGGTGGGTAAGCTGCCACAAGCGACGGCAGGTATTAAATAGATGGAATGGCACCTGTCCGGTGTGAGTTGGTGGAAGAGCGCTTCTGGTGTACAAAGAGAGTTAGTCCTTATTACAGCATGGGCACTGGCATCAGCATTGGCTTTTGCATTCGTTTTACTTAGCATTAGCGTGGCGTAGGCAAATTGTTGAATAGAAATGTATTAAAGGAATTGCATTTGCGATATATCTTTATTTTTATTTCTCGAGCTGTAGTTGTCATAGTATTTGGTAGAGAAAGTATACTAGATTAAACGTGGCCATGCTTGATCGCGGCCATCTTTGACCGCGGCTGTAGAGGAAAGCACATTTGGCGCTTCTTACTCGGTGAAAAGAAAGAGATCTGGGAGATCTCATCTTATGAGATCATCTTATGATTTGTAAATCGAGCAGGAAGGAGTGAGATAAATAGGATAGAAAGAAAACTTGAGGGTCATGTGGTTCGTAATTTTTTTTTTTTTTTTTTTTTTTTTTTTTTTTTTTTTTTTTTTTTTTTTTTTTTTTTTATTTTTTTTATTTTTTA